TACGGTTTTTCTCCTTCAATTTGTTAATATGGTGTATCACGTTGATTGATTTGCGTATATTGAAGAATCCTTGTGTTCCTGGAATAAACCCCACTTGATCATGGTGTATGATCCTTTTAATGTGCTGTTGGATTCTGTTTGCTAGTATTTTGTTGAGAATTTTTGCATCTATGTTCATCAGTGATATTGGCCTGTAGTTTTCTTTCTTTGTCTCCCTCCCTCTTTTGAGAACACCAGAATCACAACTAACTGCTGAACTGTCATCAACAGGAAGACACCAAACCTCACCCAAAAACATATTCCACACACAGCGACAAAGGAGAAGCCGCAATGAGACAGTAGGAGGGGAGCTATCATAATAAAATCAAATCCCATAACTGCTGAGTGGGTGACTCACACACTGGAGATCACTTATACCACAGAAGTCTACTCACTGGAGTGAAGATTCTGAGCCTCACGTCATGCATCCCAACCTGGGGGTCTGGCAATGGGAGGAGGAATTCCTAGATAATCAGACATTGAAGACTAGCGGGGTTTGATTACAGGACTTCGACAGGACTGGGGAAACAGAGACTCCACTCTTGGAGGGCACACACAAAGTAGTGTGCAATTTGGGACCCAGGGGAAGGAGCAGGAACCCCATGGGAGACTGAACCAGACCACCTGCTAGTGTTGGAGTGTCTCCTGCAGAGGTGGGAGGCAGCTATGGCTCGCCAAGGGACAAGGACACTGGCAGCAGAAGTTCAGGGAAGTACTCCTTGGCATGAGCCCTCCCAGCATCCGCCATTAGCCCCACCAAAGAGCCCAGGTAGGCTCCAGTGTTGGGTCGCCTCAGGCCAAACAACCAACAGGGAGGGAACCCAGCCCCACCCATCAGCAGAGAAGCAGAAAACTCAGCAAAGTTTTCCTGAGCTCTGCCCACCAGAGCAACAGCCAGCTCTACCCACCACAAGTCCCTCCCATCAGGAAACTTCCACAAGCCTCTTAGATAGCCTCATCCACCACAGGGCAGACAGCAGAAGCAAGAAGAACTATAATCCTGCAGCCTGGGGAACAAAAACCACATTCACAGAAAGAGAGACAAGATGAAAAGGCAGAGGACTATGTACCAGATGAAGGAACAAGATAAAACCAAAGAAAAACAACTGAATGAAACGGAGATAGGCAACCTTCCAGAAAAAGAATTCCAAATAATGATAGTGAAGATGATCCAGGACCTTGGAAAAACAATGGAGGCAAAGATCGAGAAGATGAAAGAAATGTTTAAAAAAGACCTAGAAGAATGAAAGAACAAACAAACAGAGATGAACAATACAATAACTGAAATGAAAAATACATTAGAAGGAATCAATAGCAGAATAACTGAGGCAGAAGAACAGATAAGTGACCTGGAAGACAGAATGGTGGAATTCACTACTGGGAAACAGAATAAAGAAAAAAGAATAAAAAGAAATGAAGATAGCCTAAGAGACCTCTGGGACAACATTAAACACAACAACATTCGCATTATAGGGGTCCCAGAAGGAGAACAGAGAGAGAAAGAACCCGAGAAAATATTTGAAGAGATTATAGTTGAAAACTTCCCTAACATGGGAAAGGAAATACCCACACAAGTCCAGGAAGCGCAGAGAGTCCATGCAGGATAAGCCCAAGGAGAAACACGCCAAGACACATAGTAATCAAATTGGCAAAAATTAAAGACAAAGAAAAATTATTGAAAGCAGCAAGGGAAAAGCGACAAATAAATTACCAATGATAACAAGCACTAAACACTATACTTAAAAAACAAAACAAAAAAAATGGACAGGCAGAAACCTAGGACAAATGGTAAAAGCAAAGCTAAAAGCAAAGCTATACAGACAAAATCACACACAGAAGCATACACATACACACTCACAAAAAGTGAAAAAGGGGAAAAAAATGTTGCTCCCAAAGTCCACCGCCTCAATTTTGGGATGATTCGTTGTCTATTCAGGTATTCCACAGATGCAGGGTACGTCAAGTTGATTGTGGGGATTTAATCCGCTGCTCCTGAGGCTGCTGGGAGAGATTTCCCTTTCTCTTCTTTGTTCACACAGCTCTGGGGGTTCAGCTTTAGATTTGGCCCTGCCTCTGCGTGTAGGTCGCCGGAGTGCGTCTGTTCTTCGCTCAGACAGGACGGGGTTAAAGGAGCCGCTGATTCGGGGGCTCTGGCTCACTCAGGCCAGGGGGAGGGAGGGGCACGGAGTGCGGGGCGAGCCTGCGGCGGCAGAGGCCAGCGTGACGTACCAGGCTGAGGTGCGCCGTGCGTTCTCCCGGGGAAGTTTTCCCTGGATCCCGGGACACTGGCAGTGGCGGGCTGCACGTGCACCCAGGACGGGAGGTGTGGAGTGACCTGTGCTCGCACACAGGCTTCTTGGTGGCGGCAGCAGCAGCCTTAGCTTCTCGTGCCCATCTCTGGGGTCTGTGCTGATCGCCGTGGCTCACGCCCATCTTGGGCTCATTTAGGCAGTGTTCTGAATCCCCTCTCCTCCCGCACCCCGAAACAATGGCCTCTTTGGCAGTTCCAGACTTTTTCCCGGACTCCCTCCCGGCCAGCTGTGGCACACGAGCCCCTTCAGGTTGTGTTCACGCAACCAACCCGTCCTCTTCCTGGGATCCGACCTCCAAAGCCCGAGCCTCAGCTCCCAGCCCTGCCCCACCCCGGCGGGTGAGCAGACAGGCCTCTCGGGCTGGTGAGTGATGGTCAGCACCGATCCTCCGTGCGGGGATCTCTCCGCTTTGTCCTCTGCACCCCTGTTGCTGCGCTCTGCTCCATGGCTCCGAAGTCCCTCCCCCTCCGCCACCCGCAGTCTCCACCCGCGAAGGGCCTTCCTAGTGTGTGGAAACCTTACCTCCTTCATGGCTCCCTCCCACTGGTGCAGGTCCTGTCCCTATTCTGTCTCTGCTTTTCCTTTTTTCTTTTGCCCTACCCAGGTATGTGGGGAGTTTCTTGCCTTTTGGGAGGTCTGAGTTCTTCTGCCAGCGTTTAGTAGATGTTCTGTAGGGGTTGTTCCACATTTAGCTGTATTTCTGATGTATTTGTGGGGAGGAAGGTGATCTCCACGTCTTACTCTTCCGCCATCTTGAAGCTCCTCCCCTTTTCATGTTTATAAGTCATTTCTCTGACACTGACAAACCTAGCTTCCACTTTCCTCAATACATTTACTTATTTGCTCCATCAGTTGACTGACTTGTTTAATGTACCTGATTGCCGGCCGCACAACACAGTTTTCACTAGATATCCCCCACCAAGGCCCTCATGCAGTAATCCCAGCCCTGCTTCCTCAGCCACCAGGTACTTTGACACTTCCATGTACCTGCCTCCTCTCCCCACATCCTATTTTACAGATTACAACTTGAATTATCAGCTTAGAAAAAGAATTTCAAATTGCCATAACTCTGTCAATGTAAATAGCTTAGAAGGGACATGTGCAGAAGGTTGGCCTGTAAAAATATTCAAATCATTTTATTCCCCTCAGATTTTATCACTCTTTTCTTATTTCACAAAATACGTACCATACCTCCTAGTTCCTTATTTAATACTTACAACTTTTTATTTTGCAATAATTATAGATTAACAGGAAGTTGCAAAAATAGTACAGGGAGTCCCATGTGCCCTTCACCCAGTTTCCTCCAGTGGTAAGATCTTACACATAACTATTGTACATCTTCAAAACCAACATATTGACAATGGTAGAATACTGCTAACTAGACTATAGACCTTATTTGGTTTCACCAAATTTTACATGCACTCATTTGTGGGTGTGTGTAGGTCTATGTAGTTTTAGCACAGATATAGATTCATGTAATAAACACCACATCAAGATACAGAACTGTTCCATCAGCACAATTCATTGTGTTATCCCTTTATAGTCACCCATATCCCATACCCCCTCCAGTCCCTATCCCTGTCAACCATTAATCTGTTCTTCACTTCTATAATTTTGACATTTCAAGAATTTATACAAATGCAATCATACAGTATGTGAGTTTTTAAGACTGGCTGTTTTTCATTCATCATTATACCCTTGAGGTCCATCCAAGTCGTGCGTATCAACAGTCTGTTCCTTTTCACTGCAGGGTAGTATTGCATGGTGTGGATGGTTGGTTTAACCACGCACTCAACTGCAGGTCACCTGGGTTGTTTCCAGTTTGGGGCTATTACAAATGAAACTGCCATGAATGTCTGTATAGAAGTTTCTGTGCCAAAATAGGTTTCATTTCTTTGGGATAAATGTCCAGGACAACAATTGCTGGGTAATAAAGTACATGTATGTTTAACTTTATTAGAAATTTTTAAACTCATTTTTTCAGAGTGGCTTACCATTTTACATTCTGTTCAGCAGTGTATGAGAGATCCAGTTTGTATGCTCAACAGCATCTGGTATTTTCACTGTTTTTTCTTTAGCCATTCTGATAAGTATGTAGTTATAATTCACTGTGGTTTTAATTTGCATTCCCTGATGACTAATGAAGTTCAACATCTTTTCCTGTGCTTGCTTGCCTTCGATACACCCTCGTTAGTGCTATGTCTATTCATGTCTTCTGCTCATTTTCTAATTGGATTGTTTGTTTTTTACTCTTGACTTTATTCTAGATAAATGGTTTGCAAGTAATTTCTCTCAATAATTTCCTCCTCTTAAATTTTTGGCAGAGCAAAAGTTTTTCATTTTGATGAAGTCCAATATACAGTATCAACTTTTTCCTTTCACGATTGTGCTTTTGGGATGAAGGCCAAGAAGAACCTGTTGCCTAGCCCACGATCCTAAAGATCCTTCTATGATTTTTTTTCCTGAAAGTTTTACATCTTACATCTAAGTTCATGATACATTTTCGATTAATTTTTGTATAATGTATGCAGTTTAGGTTAAAGTTCATTTTCTTTGCCAACTGCACCAGCATCATTTGTTGAAAAGACTATCCTTCCTCCATTGAATTGCTTTTGTACCTTTGTCAAAATCAGTTGTGCATATACCACACTGTCTTGATTACTGTAGGTTTATAGTAAGTCTTGAAGTCAGGTAATGTGAGTCTTCCAAATTTTTCTTCTTCAAAATTGATTTGGCTTAATTAATTTTACACCTGGATATTTTCATCCTTCCTACAGGGAAAGAAAAGAATAGAGAAGAACTGTGGCTGTGGGAAATTAGGGAAAATACAACATTTACACTACATATGCCCTAGGGAGTTCATGAAGATTTCTGGGTTCCACTCCCAGAGTTGAAGTTTGGCCTCCAAATGATTATGGTGCATATAGTTCTGGACTGTACTTTGAAATTTGAAAAACAATAATTTAGGGAGAAACAAGAAGAAAAAACAAAAAACAAAACCAACCCTTTGTCACTGTTGTTGGGATTGGGGCTTTCTTTGTTTTCTTTCTTTCTAACTCCTCCAATTCCCACTTTAATTTCTGGTCTGCAGTAGGCTTAGCTCTTTTCTGAAGAGACACTTAGCATTTGTGGTTACACATGGTAAGAAGCTTACAACAGAACTTTTTAAAGCATGATTTTTGTTACATCCTAAGTCTTGAATGTTTCTGGAAAAACACATTTATATTATACTGGAAATTCTTAGGGAAATAAGATCTGCTCAATAGGAATTTGCTTCAGAGCCAAATATGCTAGAACTCATATTTTTGGTTAGAAAGAGCACCCACATAGATTCAACCTTTGCTAGGTATCTCAGAATACCTATTTTAGAGATCAAGAAGGAAGACATAAGACAGATGCCTCTCAATGGGGGTAAAGAATAGAGGTGGGGTGCTGATGAGTCACCTTCACTTCATTCCACTAACCCTTGTGTACTTATTTCTTTGTCCAACATCAGCATCATAACTATAAAACTGAACATGAAATACTCTTATTCCTTTAGCTTATTCTAGAGAAAAAATAAACACTTGAAATATGCTCCCCAGACATTTTATTACAGGATATCCTTGCCAATGTACCTTGCATAGCCTTTAAAAAAAAACTTTCATATTCTACTTAAATCACCCTGAATATGCTCTTTGTAGGCTGGTTCCAGGTAGGAGGGTTCATTAGGCCCTAATGAAACTTTTAGGAAGACATCTTATGTTTGTTTATTGTATGCATAAAACGCACCCATGGGGATATAAAAAGAGCTGCTCCATCGTCTGCCTACACATCTCCTGTATATGAATTTTCAGACCATGTTTCATACACAAATTGGAAAACAAAAGTTTTTTTACCCCATTTTGTCTCCTGCTTTATTCTAAAGACGAAAGTTCTTGCATAAGCTCTTCCTTTTCTTGTTGCAACTCCTGCAAATGCTGTTGGTTTTGCTCCAGTCTGTCCTCCAGCCACTGCAGTAGAGGCCCGCTGACTGCTGACATCTGACTGCACAGGTTCTTGGTAAACACTTCAATAGGAAAAACACAGAGATAACAATCCACCACCAGTAGTGCCCAACAGTGAGTACAGAAAGAGGGGGAAGGAGGAGAACATAGAAAAAGTGCAGAAGTAGAACTGGCAGACAACTTTGTATGGGCAGCCAGGGGAAAGGCAGGAGAGCTGAGCAAAGAGGATACCTATTCAGAGGCCATCCTGAACATCCCTGGATCCATAAGCCAGACGGAAGCCTTGCTATGCAGAGAGCAGAAAGATATCCAGCTTTTTACTTCCATAGCAAAAGGGTAAGAGCTACAGAAGGGTCTCTTTCCCCAGCTCTCAGACCTTCTCACTGTGAATGAACATAGCTTCCCAGTGAGCTAGAACTCTGTCTTCTGCAACTTAATTTTTCACGAGTTCAGAAAGAAAATTGCTTACCAAGTGTTACATACATTGAAGAATACATTAATGCAACTCACCTGAAAGCTTCTCTTTTAAAATGAGGAAAAAGCAGAGAGATGAAGGGAGTGATCACCTTTCACGTCTTCCTAGGAATGTTCAGCTTCACGGTAAGACAGAGATTCTGTGGCCCTCTTTGTAAAACAAATTCTGCCTAATGGAAATATCTTTTTCTCTCTTATGATACATGACTTATTAAAATGACCACTGTAAAATTGTGGAGTATACCTTCCAAGATATATATATATATATATGTGTGTGAACCTGTGTGCATATGTATATATACTTTTGAATAAAAATGGTCCTGATGAACCTAGGGGCAGGACAGGAATAAAGACACAGGTGTAGAGAGTGGGCTTGAGGACACGGGGAGGGGGAAGGTTAAGCTGGGACGAAGAGAGAGAGTGGCATGGACATACATACACTCCCAAATGTAAAACAGCTAGCTAGTGGGAAGCAGCCACATAGCACAGGGAGATCAGCTCGGTGCTTTGTGACCACCTAGAGGGGTGGGATAAGGGAGGGCGGGAGGGAGAAGCAAGAGGTAAGAGATATGGGGATATATGTATATATATAGCTGATTCACTTTGTTATACAGCAGAAACTAACACAACATTTGTAAAGCAGTTATACTCCAATAAAGATGTTAAAAAAATTTTTGTTTTGAAAAACAGATTTGGGGGCCCCACTTTCACATCACTGAATTACAAACTCTTTTAAGACAGGCCTTGGAATCTGTGGTGGTTTTTTTTGTTTGTTTGTTTTCGTTTTTGTTATTATCGACCTCAGAGTGCTATATATATATATATATGATTTTTTAAATACATTTATTTATTTATTTTTGGCTGTGTTGGGTCTTCGTTTCTGTGTGAGGGCTTTCTCTAGTTGCGGCGAGCGGGGGCCGCTCTTCATTGTGGTGTGCAGGCCTCTCACTGTCGCACCCTCTCTTATTGAGGAGCACAGGCTCCAGACGCGCAGGCTCAGTAGTTGTGGCTCACGGGCCCAGTTGCTCCGCGGCATGTGGGATCTTTCTAGACCAGGGGTCGAACCTGTGTCCGCTGCACTGGCAGGCAGATTCTCAACCACTGCGCTACCAGGGAAGCCCAATTTTTTTAAATAAAGTTAAAAAAACTATGATTTTGGACGTTACTTTTACCTCACATAACAATAAGCCATAGACATCTTCCTGTGTTGATAAAGATCTACCTTTCCTTCTTAACGGCTGTACAGTATTCATCAGAATGGATGTACCAATTTAATAAGTCTTCTATTGATGGACCTTTCAGTGGCATCCAATTTTTTGCTATTATAAAGACTGCTATTAATATCCCTTTATTTTTGCACACTTGTCCTACAAGTTTTTGAAGGATACATTTTTCGAAGTGGAATTGCTAGATTCAAGTTCACATATATTTAAAAATTATACCTCCAGGAACAGTATATGGGAGTGTTCACTTCCCTCACATCCTCATCTAATTCTCTGTCAATTTAATATTTGTTGAAAGAAGAGGAGAAAAGGAGAAAACCTGATGACTTTATCTTAATCCATACTTCTTTTATAGATTATTATGAACAATTTGATTTTTCTGTAGGGCTCTATAGAAGTCTTTAATTCTTATTTAGTCAGTCTTTTGTGACTTCCTTATATTTTCTTCCTGTATTTTTTTTAACTTTTAATGAGCTTTATTGGGGTATAATGACAATAAATGACCCCACTTTAAGGGTACAGTTCAGTGAGTTTTGACAAATGCATACCCCTTTTAACCACCCTCCAGTCAAGATACAGGCTATTTCCATCAGCCCAGAGGCCCCTCTGGGTTCCCTCTGCAGCCGGTGCCCCTTCACCTTGGGCCACAGCAGCTACTGATCCATTTGCTGTCACCATAGGTTAGTTTAGCCTATTCCTGAATTTCATATAAATGGAACTATAGAGTATGTAGCACTTTGTGTGATGCTTCTTTCAGTTGGCATAATGAGATTCATCCAGGTTGTTCATGTATCAGTAGTGTGTTCTTTCCATTGCTGAGGAATACGTTGTTGTATGGATGGATCACACTTTGTTTATCCATTCACCCACTGACAGACAATTGGGTGTTCCCACTTTTTGGCTATTGTGAATAATGCTGCTACAAACATTCCTATACAAGTTTTTGTTTGAACACCTGTTTTCAACTCTTTGGGGTATATGCCTAGGAGAGGAACTGGTGGGACATTCGGTAGTTGTAATTGCCAATCTCTTCCCAAAGTGGTTGTACTATATTTAACAGCAGAAGTTTAAATATATCTGGAATTTATTTTGTGTGTAGGGCATTAAGTAGGAATTTATTTTTTTCCCATATGGAAATAGAAGTATAAACTAAGAAACAAATGAACTGTCCCAACACTATTTAGTGAACAATCCATCCTTTTTAAAATTGATTTGAAGTAACATCTTTCTTAGATATAAATTCTTAAATATGTATACATGGGCTGTATTCAGTTCTACTGATTTATCTGTCCGTGTTTGAATTATCAATATATATTTTTTAATTGCTGTGGCTTTAGAGTGTGGCTACATATCATATATTATCTTGTATTATTAACTCTTTGCCATGTTTTACCTCCAGATAAAAATGATGGGACAGATAAACCAAGCCATCTCTGTCTTTTTCTCTCAAAGTACTTGCCTATAATACTTGGAAGCCTCCTTTTCTTCCTTCCTAGTGACTTTGCCAGAATGGCCTGGGAGTCAGGGTTAGTCAGAAGGTGTGGGTGGGTAGGTGTGTATGTTGGGAAAAGTGATTTAGTGTGTATACTGTATTGAGCATAAATCCTTGCCCTTGTATAGGAATTCCTTATATATTTATTTACATGAAAAGATCTCCCTCATGCGCTCCCTTTTATGTCTGTCTCGCCATCTCTTTCAACTCCCACCACAATGGGCTGGTACTGATATGCTGGAAACCGGCTCACAAGAGCCAACTGTTGAAATTTCAGGAAGTTTGCAAACTGGTTACGGCCATGTTAGTTGTTTGAAATCAGCCACAGTAGGCATGTTGCACTATGGAAACGTGCAAACAAATCAGGGCCTTCCCTGTCTCCCTGAGAACTGGTGTTAAACATGTCCAGTCATGTATAGTATTCAGTGGTCCACAGGATTCAACAGAAAAGTTGGGAGCAGGATTAGTGAATGGCAAAGCTCTTGGGAAAGAAAACTCAAGGGTAATTTGTACTCATCACTTCAGTCACTTCAACTAAATTTGCTTCTGTCATGTGAGCATTTCACTGCCTGTACTCGAGAAAAAACATCTTACCTGAGCCATTATGGATCTTGGTTACTGAGTCCAGATGTGTAAGGCTAAAGGGATAAAATAGTTTAGGTTAGTAGCAAAGCAGCAGTTCATCTAATCCGTTTGGCAGTGGTCTGCTACAGACCTCTGCCAACCAGATTAGATAAATATGTATCATTGAACTTCCCATTATTGTTCCATTTTTCATGATTTGGGGGATGTAATTTTATTCAGAACGTTGAGATAATTCAAAGAAATAATTTTGAAATTATTGTCTCTCACTGAAGCCTTCCTATAGTACACAGTACTTGGCAACAGGGCTACTAAGATGTTATTTTTAACAACTAAAAAAAGTGTCTTTGCCCCAGAAGGATCCAAAGTGCACCAGGAGAGAAACAAGTGTTAGAGATTGTTATCATACAGGGTGAGACATGTGATGACTTTCTCACAGAGAGCTGAAAGGAAAGGGGGCTCACAGCTTGAGCTGCTAAAGATGAAAGGACAGGAGAGGAGAACAGGGACCAGGCCCGAGAATTGGGAAGAGGAGCAGCGAGGCTCTCTACCTGTGGATCCTCCTATATGCATCCTGCTCCTCTTGGCACAGGATCTTGGGCAGCTCAACTGCTGACTCAAGGCACACTTTCCCAATGGTTACATGAGGTACAATATGAATTGGAATTTCAATTCTCTCATACCTGTAAGACAGTTCAGGTCAGTTTTTGTTTGTTTGTTTCCAGCTTTACTGAGGTATAATTGACAAATAGGAATTATACATATATATTTAAGGTGTACAAATTGATATTACGATATATATACACATTCAGAAATGATCACCACACTCAAGCTAATTAACATATCCATCACCTCACATAATTACCATTTTTTGTGGCGATTTAACATTTAAGATCTACCTTTTTAACAAATTTCAAGTACAAAATCACCATGTTGTACATCAAATCGCCAGAACTCATTTATCCTAAAACTTTGTACCCTTAGACCAGGGGTCTCCAACCCCCGGGCCGCGGACCAGTACCGATCTGTGGAGGAGGAGGTGAGTGGTGGACAAGCAAAGGAAGCTTCATCTGCCACTCTCCGTTGCTCCCCAATGCTCACATTCCCTCCTGAACCATCCCCCCTCCGCCCACACCCGTGGAAAAATTGTCTTCCATGAAACCGGTTCCTGGTGCCAAAAAGCTTGGGGACCACTGCCTTAGACCAATACTTCCTCATTCTCCCCTCTACCCCCCATGCCACAGCACCACCATTCTACTCTCTGTGTCTATTAGATTGACTCTTAGATTCCACATATAAGTGAGAGCAGGCATTGCATTATTTGTCTTTCTCGGACTTATTTCACTCAGCATAATGTCCAGGTTGATCCATGTTTTTGCAAATGGTATGTATATATACATACGTATACACATACCACATTTTCTTTATCCATTCATCCACGGACAGACATTTAGGTTTTCATTCCTTGTGAATAACAAGGAATGTGATGAACATGGGAGCACAGATATCATTTTGAGACACTGATTTCATTTCCTTTGGATATATACCAAGAAGTTGGTAAGTTTTTAATGCTGACTTGTCATAATCAGAAGTTTTCTATAGTTTTAGTAGAAATTTTGGAACACAGTAAGCTTCAAAGATTAAATATTCCTGTTACTAATTTAGTAACTCAACTCCAAAGGGGACAGAGTTCAAACTGAGTTCATGTGGGGAGCAAACTGGAAGTACATACATTTGCAGAGCCAATATTCTCATAGAAAATCTGAGGCCACTTTGTAAACTTAACAGAAGCCTTGGCAGTGCAAGGTCCTTATGCTCATTCCCCAGACATGGGAAATAGCTAATTAATACTGTTTTCAGTCAAAAAGTTGCCAGTGAGGTTGAACACATTAATCACAAAGCCTGGGGAAGAGGAAATGTAGACTCTTCAGTGACTCCATCAGATTCATTAGGTGGAAGGGATTACTCATATAAATACTCACTTGTTCTAACTCAGTGTTCACCAGTGGCCCTCACTTCCCATTTTCTCCCCTGGAGGGAAATAGGTAAGTAATTTACAAATACTTCCATTTTCATGCTAGAGTGAGGTCAACCAATCTACCTCTAAATACTTCTCACCCCAAATCCACCTAACAGTGGGTTCAGTGGAGCAACCAGGTTGAGGGTCCCTGGCACTGTGTGACCTCATTGGCGCATGGTAGTATATCAGCATAAGATCTAGCTCCCTCCTCTCTCTTTCCCACCCAGCAGAATGCGTCTGGCCCCCTCACCACTTCTATTCAAAATAATATTAGAAGTCCTAGCCAAAGAAATTAGGCAAGTAAAACAAAGGTATCTAAATTGGAAAGGATGAAGTAAAATTACCTGTTTGCAGATGACTTAATCTTATAGATAGAAAACCCTAAATACTCCTCCAACCCCCCCAAAACCGATTAGAACTAATAAATTCAGCAAGGTTGCAGGTGTCATCAGGGCCCCACATCTGAAAGCTCCAGAGGGGAAATCCTGCCTTGCCACTTGCAGATTCTCGTGGCTTGGGGAGATTCTTTGCTTGTGGCAGCGTAACTCCTATCTCTGTCTCCATCTGTGCATTTGCGAGGTGATCAGGTAATGAGGTTGGAGCCCTCATGAATGGGATCTTTATAAAAGTGTCTTTATAAAAGAGGGTATATTTCTGTAATCTCTCTTCTGTTCCATTGAACTCTGATCCTTTCACCAGTACCACCTGTCTTGATGATTATAGCTTAACAGCAACTCAGTATCTGGTAATGTGATTCCTCCCAATTTATTCTTGTTTCCCCAGATCTTTTTTTTTTTTTTTTTTTTTTTTTTTTTTTG